TTGTTCTTGAGCTAAATAACGAAAGAGCATCCCAGTCTTTGAACAGGCTGAAGAAGTTATTTCAGTAGTTTTCTAAAGGTTTGAAGCATTTACGGACCTGTCAAGGTTTGCCGGCATAAACTCTGCACCAATTCTTCGATGGGGTCGGTATCGTCTATACAAATCCACCATAGAATCATTTGGGTTTAGAAATAGAAAGCTTTTGTGGTAGGCTCTTTTTACTCATGTATGCATCACGCCCTGATTATTAGCTCAGTTTATAGAATTATTTTTCAGTCGAGCAATTTTTTCTCCAGCTGAGTCAAGCATATACTAAACCAGGGCATGCTATTTTGTTTGCATCAGGCATCAGTGCCTGCATCTCTTTCTATAAATAAATATAAATGCATTGCTTATAGCAAATTTCTCCGTATAAATATAAATGCAGATTCCCAATCATAACTATCGTTTGTGTACTTAATGATCATATGTATTAATTTTTCGTGTTTCATAGTTATCTGTGTTAATTTCTAGTGCCTCAAAGTAGTCTACGTAGATCTAGAATTTTATTTATGTCTATTAAGACTTTCAGAATTAGAGAATACTTGTTTAGTCTAAATATATTTTACAAGTTTAAAGTTTTCTTTGTTATCATTTCTTATGTTTGATTTGGCAAAAAATAATATAACTTCCGTTTCTCAAACTAGTACGTACCCCGTGCGATGCACGGAACATAAATATTAAATGAGTTATTTTCACAGGCTTTGTTATTTTAAGCATATAAAGTAATAGGATTATCATATATTTTCCACATCTTTTAAGCAGCGTTAAGTGTAATAAACAATAAGGTTACAATCTATTTTGCACTTCTTTTAATCAGCGTTGATTTTTTAGTCAAAACATTAAATATGAGCATGTTAAGATTAGTTTGTAAAATAATTAATATATTATCTGGTCATTATCTCTTAAATGGTAAATTATATTAATTTGAAGAATAATTTATTTTTTATATTTAACAAAATGAAGCTTAAGAAAAAATATATTGGCAAAGATTAATTCAACAACTTGATTTTGTTTGATTACTTGGAAATTTTTTTTACCTAACCTGTTACAATATACCATAAATATTTTTGGATAAAAAGTGAATATTTGTGAATTTTTTTTTTAATATTATGGTTAGAACTTAAAATATGGTGTAATATTTATCTTGACCAAAATATTATCAACACGAATCATGGAAATCAATCTTGTAATTTATTATAATGAATATCAATGAAAGTATTACAAATATTAATAAAATAAAATTTATCTTTACCAAATTATTATCAACATGAATCACGAAAAATCAATCTTGTAATTTATTATAATAAATATCAAAGAAAATGTTGCAGATATTAGTAAATTTATTTAAGTAATTATTTGATCCTATCTTATTTGATCTGATTTGAAAACGTGTATATGGAAACAATTAATTGTGCCTACAATTGCTATATCAATTGTAGAACGTGTTTTGACGAGAGATAAGCTAGATCAACAGACTTTTGGGGATATAAATATATACATAGACAGAACTAGATATAAAAGTATCATGATACATCTAATAAATTGTGCCCTACAATTGCTATATTGTAGTTTTTTCTGTCAAATGGAGACAACCCGTCTATTTCGCAGCAACAACAGTTAAAACTTAACAAACGTTTTGCAAAACTATTCCTATTTATTGCTCCTCCTTTCTCATTAAACAACGCGCTGTCCTGTCTCAATATTTAGACTATTGTTTACATTAATCTTCACAAAAAAACACCAACTATCTTCATCTTTGTCCCTTACCCCATTGCTTTGATCACTAAATTTCTTCTCCTATTTGACTGTTTCCATTTCTTCAGAAAATTCATTCTCAACAATTGGTACCAAATTGCTCTTCTTTTCTTTTGTGTATTCTTTACTTTTTCATACATGGCATATTTTGGGCATGTAGTTATGATCATTTCCTCATCCGATATTTAAACATTCGATCAACATTTACTTTTCCTTTATTTTTTGATCTTCAATTAAAGCAAGATAGCACGAAATATGATTTCACGTTGTCGATTCTAATGATCATGCATAATTTCGTCTTTCCCATATATATCATCTAATTCCCACCCATTCAATCTACCTATTATAACTATCTTTTTTTTTTTTTCTTTCTTCTTTTTTCTTGCAGAAAGCATTTGATTTTGGGACAAGAGTATTGAAGAAAGAGACTTGAAAGAACAAAAACAAAATAAAGTGTCATTAAATATTAGAGTTAAGGTTGTAACATATAT